AAAAAAATAAGTTTTAATAAAACAAACCATAAATATTATTAGCATTGGTACCACAACAAATATACTGTCCACCATTTTGGGATTCATTATACTCGCAAAAGTAACCAACCGTACAAGGCCAATATAAACAATTCTTTACAGTACCATTTACATATTCTACTTCAGCACGTGGGTCATTGCATTTTGCTAAATTTTTATGGGAATATTTCCAAATTCTTAAATCAATATTGATATTGATAGAAAAAGAAAAAGTAGGAGCAAAGGAGAGATCATTTATGAATATTAATTATCTTGATATATAATATCGCCAATTTTCAATGTTTTATTTACCTCCTTTTTCTCAAAAAAAAACATTTAATTCGAAAATTTAAATTAAATAGAAAAAATTAGAATTGAATAAACAAGTAGTTAAGCTTACGTTTTAAAGTATCGTCATCCATTTGGATCATACAACGACCATTAATACATAAAAGTGATTGATACCATCTATCGATACATTGTTCACTAAACATACATGTTTCACCATATTGGGCAAATGGATAACACTGTCCACCAATGGCTATCTGATTTCCAGGGCAAGCTAAAAAGTTTCATCAGCAAAAAAAAAAAAAAAACAAGGATCAATTTAGAAAAATGCAAATAGACTAGTCAAAAGATTTGGAATACATTGGCTTTGTTATTAAATTATAATTATAATTTATAATTATTAAATTGTGGTTGCAATTTAAATAATAAAATTTCCAAATTTTTACCTTACTAGATTCGAGCATTAAGAATGATATTATCAATAATTTTATAATTATAAAACTAAATTCCAAATATTTTCATTTATTTCTATTGATGATTTTCATCTCTAATTTTGTACTTCTTTCGCATTTATCATGATATCTCATTCAGTAATTCAAAATTCTTATCATTCTCCAAATCCACTTCCTATATGTTGATTCACTAATTTAACAGCCAATTTTTTTGGAGAATTGAAATTGTTTTCAATTTCCCACATCCTATAATTTCTTCAAAATAAACAAAAAAAAATTATTGCATCAACTTGCTATTTCATAACCATTCATGATATATGCCCATTCAAAAAAATAGAAATCACCAAATAGATATTAACAATTTTATACATTAATTAAATAAGATTGATAAATTTTAATAGCCTTAAATAAGATTGATAAAATTGATAGCTAACTTTTAGAACGCAGAATACATTTGCTTCCATCAAAAGTATAACCCAATTGACAACGACAAATTCCATCAGTGCAAAAAGCGCCAATATAACCGCATTGTTGGGTATAGTTACAGAGAAAACCATAAGTTACATTTCGATAACATTGTCCATTTATCAAAATTTGATTTGATGGACAAACATTAGGCACTATAATAAATATCACAAATGTTACCTGAAGATAACGTTAAAAAGTAAATATAACATATTGCAAAACATAATAATGTGTGACATTCAAACTAAAATGTTGACACTTTAAACAATTATCAAAATATTACCACTAATAATTACACACTATCAGTTACCTTCATTTGGTTTACTCTTTACAATAACCGCCAATTTGTGGTCAAAAGTCACTATGGTAATATAGCTCAAGATCCATCCTAAAAAAAAAAAATTACACATAATATAGTTAATCTAAAATTTCGATAAACAAAAAGCCTACTTGTGATACATGAACGACCATTGTAATGAGAACCGTCGGGACATTGACATATATGTGAAATGCATGTTGCACCAAATGTATTGCATTGTATTGTCATTGTACAATATCCACCATATGATACTGAGTTTGCTGTAGTGAAAATTCGTAATACAGCAAAATAAAGTAATAAATTTGTATAGCTTATTTGGTGCATAAAGTGATAGGATTTGTGGAAGGAATACTTGAAAAGTTTGAGAAAATTTCGACTACCTGAACTATCTGGGCAACAAACTCCTTGATAACAATTGTATCCTGGAGAGATATTCTGACATTGTATGTTCGATATGCATCGATAACCGTTTAACAATGCTCTACCACCTGTTGGACACTGTCCCAGTACAAAGTGTGATCCTCAAAAAATGCCAAAATCATATTTCAGTAATATTATTAATTAATTTAAAATTTTAATTGTGAACAATTTATGCCAAATAAAAGCTAAAATTACAGATAGAGAGATGGTCAATTAATATGAACCATATTTTTGGAATTCAATTGTAATATTATCTGGAAACAATTGTTAGTAAATGGTTTAACAGTAATAAACTTTCAAATATTATTTCTTTCAGCTAAATTTTCTAAGGTAATTGTAAAAGAATGAAGGATGCATAAAATTTAACACCTTGTAATAATTTTTTCCTCCTAAAAAAGAATTATAATAAGATGGAGAGTAAGATTTGACATACCTGTTATCATATCTGTTAATAATAATGAAAGAAGTGATGATGATAAGAAATGCATTCTAAAACGAAAAATATTGTTAAAATAATTATTA